GGGCTCCTTTCGTTCCTATCCGAAAGCACAGCAACTTCCTCTGCCTGAATACATTTTTCTCCACCGTTCATCACATTTGTTTGCCCCCACTCCACAGCGTTTTTGAAGCAGCCGCGCCTGCAGCGACATGTATGATTATGCTAATCTTATGAACGTGCACCTACTCATAAACAGTATTCATTAGGGTTGAATCCACACCCGACATGGAACATTCTCATGTGCAAACTTTATCTAAAAAACTAAGAGAAGTTCAGGACAAGAACACAATTTGTTGCCCACGGTCTCACTGGGCTTTGAACCACAACAGCAACATTTCCTGATCTGGCGCAAGCTCTTCAAGAAGACCTGGAGAGTCTTTCCAAAAACCTTAGTTAATCACGGAAAGTGATCAAATGCCTGAGAGAGGATCCATCTTGAGATCCCCCTCCTCATATGGCTGAACGTTCAGTAAAAATAATGCAGGATGTTAGGAAAATCTCCCACTCTTATCGATAGACCGTAGGCCAAAACCTCCTATGATAATCCAACAAAAGGAATGAAATGTAAAGACAAAGGAATAGTTTAGGGTAGACAAGTCCAATTACGTCCAATACGTTATGGGGTTAGGAGGATTTGGCTGCCTTATGGACCAGGGTAGGGAACTTGGTGGAATAGGGACTAAGTTACGTAGAAAAATGTATTTTAACTTGATATCTGATGCCAGATTACTCAATTCCTCTGAGCAGGAATAGCCATCAGGGCACGTGGCTGACATTGGACAATAGCAAGGTTTTTTTACTCATTGCTGTTCTGGATTTATCACTTGAGATGACTTGGCAAATGCACAGTGTGCACAGTATTGTTGGCATGTTTGTGAATGACCTTTGAGTGACAGTAAATACTAATTTATCTCACTACAACTCTTCTAGACACGGACGCTACTACCACAATCATAAATCAGTGACATGCGTAGAGGTCAATGGATCAGGAAGCACTGGTTGATATCAGAGCAGATTCACACACATATGAACCCCATAGAGATAGCTTATTGGGTAAAGGTTCGGATGTTACATATTTCATATCAGCATTCTTTAAAACACGCATGAAATAAACATTTATATTGCATGGTCTTACTTTTACTTGTAGATTAAGTCCTATCGCCTATCCTTCTCGACAAAGATATCAGTGACAATAGGCGCATTCACACCAAGTACTTTGCCGTATTTAGTGCCGGCACTCAGTGCCCCGGCACTTATTACCCCAGGGCACTTAGTACAGATCGCGTTCACACCGGAGTACTTTTCCCTGAGGGAAGATTACGCAAATGAGCCGCTGACGTCACTTCTTCTTCTTCTGCTTTGGGTTTACTGGCAGGCCGCAAACAACTTCACGGCGTATACTGCCACCCGGAGTCCCCGGCCGGAAGTCCCCGGCCGGAAGTCCCCGGAGCTGGGGACTGGCTTCAGTAAAAGCTGCTGGGACTCCCAGCAGCTTTTACTGAAGCCTTCCGAGTAAATCACCAGAACGCCGACACCTCCTCATCTCCACCGCTCCCATGTTTTATTTTGTGTTGCCATAAGTTAGTCTCTCTGCGTTTGTGCGCTGGGCGAATGCTAATGCTAATAATGCTAATGCCAGGATAATAAAATGGCGGCTCTACAAAACATTTCAGAGTTGTACGGGGCGTGGTTTGCAATTCGCCCAGCCAATCAGAACTGGGGCACTTTTTCCCCCCAGGAAAGTACCATCTCTCAGCAGGCACTAAAAATGGGGGTAAAAGTTCCCGAGATTAAGTGCTCTCTTTGGTGTGAACGAGACATAAGGGGTACTAACGGAACTAAACGCGAAAAGTATGGTGAAAAGTACTCCGGTGTGAACGCGGCTATTGTTGTAAAAGTTATTTTGTCTTGCTGCTTCTTATTTTGTGGAGATTTGATGGTATAAACATTGCAATTACTGTTTGTTAAACTAAGTCAATTTTTTTGCACATAAAACACATGCTTCAAGAGTTTTTGGTTTGTTGAAGTAAATGGTAAATGGACTGTACTTATTTAGCGCTTTTTCCAGTCTTTAAGACCCCTCAAAGCGCTTTACATAATACATGTCGTTCACCCAATCACACCCATTCATTCATACCTTACTCTAGGAACTAACATTCATACACATTCACACACCGTTGGCCATGCCATCGGGAGCAACTCAGGGTTAAGTATCTTGCCCAAGGATACATCGACATGTTGACTGCATGGGCTGGGATCGAACCCACAACCTTCTGGTTGAAAGACGACCACACTCCCTCGCAGCCACAAGTAGACCTGCTTACTTTATATTTTCATTTATTTAAAGTGTTATAAAGACACTAAACACTTTGCACTCTGTTTTGCAATTATGAAAGTACAATTTATAACAAAAAGCCTGTTTTGTAGTGGTTGATCCATGAGTATTTCTGACCCAGCTCTAACATGAATGTGAATAATATTTTTGATTTACTTGAATTACCTGACTCACTCAACCTTGGCACATCATTTGTCTAACCTCCTCTATATCTGGTTACTCATTGATTTAATAGTACACCTCAACTATGAATACCACTATTATGACTTAACATATTACATCTTGGACTTGTATATATTGTATGCTGCTAGTTAGGTGAACAATGTAGCTGGCTCCACACTTCACTTCACTTGGATTTGACCTTAATGACTCATTAGCTCGAGGAGACTTGAAATCCTTTAAAAGGAACACATTTTAATTTCCCTGATTACATGTTAAAGTTAAATTAGTCTCTAATGATCGGTGTGTGGGCAAACGTAATTGTTGCAGCAGCAGAGTTCACGGCAAGTATGAACAACACGAAAAACTAAACACTGTTTAATTAAAACAAATAACATTTACTGAGATTACAGCCTCGCTTTGCTTTGAATTACTCATTTAATCACTCTGAATTGTTGTACAACCACAAAGGAATCAATGCAGAGCTAATACAATGTCCTTTGAATGCCAGTTGTTTGTGGAGCTATGAACACATCTTGAGGAATTTCATCAGTATGTGAGCAGATTTGTTAAAGCTGTACTGTAATTTACGAGTGACATTTAAAATAAGTCGTAACCTCCCAAGGTGTACGAACACGAAGACCCCAGGAAGTGCGCCGAATGTAGAAGCACATATATGTAGTGGCCAAACGGTGGTACTACATCTTCTATGTCAGTCCATTACATAATTTGGCCAAAAAAAAACGTTTACTCCATTGACTTATATTGGGAAATTAAGCTTTTACCTTTGTTTGAACTAAATCAGCTACCAAACCATTTGTATTGTCCTTATTTATATCGATAGGGTCCAAATGTTGTAAAAGTCAAATCCAGAGTCATTTTCCCATTTATTTGACTGAGCCAAGATCGGATGTGACGCCAGGATTGGAGGCGGGGCTTAAGGAAAACTCGAGTGTGCATTCTCTTAGGGCCCAGATATTTTAAAGCCTTTTTGGCTTCATGCAACACTGAGCAACTTTCATGAAAAAAAGAAAAAGAAAATTGTGTTTGTATGCCATACGGTGGAGTTGCAGGTTTACATCCCTGTCTGTCCAAGATGTCTTCATTTTTTAACATTGTCATCATGAGCATATGCACTATTGAGATATCTGCAATCATGTGTTATGTGTGGTCATCGTGACCTTGACATGGCGACTTTGACAAACTGGTAAGGAGTGTGTGGGAAAGGGCGGGTCGTTAATAGTAGGGCTGCTGAGGGAAAGTGTAATTGTTGGGGTTTAGATGGATAGGACTGTCAGGAGATGGAGGAAAGGATGGAAAGTCAGAGGACATTAGGTGGATGAACGGAAAACGGCATTGAATGTGCCTTGGAAACTTTGGACGGTCCCAGGCAAGCTGTATTATTTTGTTTCAAACCTAACAAAGATAGGCCAATCATCTCCTCGGTGTACTTCTGTATTTGTGACTTGCTCTATCAAAATCTGTCACTTTGACTCTAAAACATATTGTGAGTTGTATACCCTGTTGGAAAGAGGCAATTCGTAGCTTTCTATTGATATGCTTATTGTTTTTGTTCTAACAAACACAGCAAAATGTGTCACATAACATGATGACTGTTATCAGGAGACAATTAAGGTCTTTAAAGTTTGCAGTGGATTTCTTAGCCAAAGTTATTCAAAGAGTGTGATCCAGGCTTAATATTTTGGGGACACTGTACCCCTTGCCCCAACTTAGGACCACCATTGCCATTGGACAACATAGCTACGACGACGAGGAAAAAAGTTCAAAGGAAAAAAAGAAAAAAGTCAATGTCCACAACAAGTTATTGAGACAAATCCGCGAATGAATTATTTGTGTCGGATGTGTGTCACATGTGTCATAACTATCTAAACTCTATTCCAGACACTTGAACTACTTCTGAAGAGGAGTCTTTCAGGGAAAACTGAATCATTGCGAGACCTCGTCTTTTCCATTTATTTGTAGTTTGAGTCTTAATATAGAAACGGAGCTTTATTTAGAAACAGACGCATTTGTTTCATTTACTTTACCACCAGAAAAAAACTCACATGCTCGTATTTGTGTGTACGTGCGCACGCTGGAAAGACCCAAACACACTCAGTTTTAGACACACACATTGGACGGGGAACAACAGATGTAGACACCTGCTACACCCTCCTCCTCCTCCTCCTCCTCCTCTCCTCCATTAGGATTCAGTTCAGGGTCCGTCTCCGTGAGTAGGTTAGCCATGCGTGTCATGGAGAAATCCAGTGAATGATAATGAATGATGGTGTGTGTGTGTGTGTGTGTGTGTGTGTGTGTGTGTGTGTGTGTGTGTGTGTGTGTGTGTGTGTGTGTGTGTGTGTGTGTGTGTGTGTGTGTGTGTGTGGTGTGTGTGTGTGTGTGTGTGTGTGTGTGTGTGTGTGTGTGTGTGTGTGTGTGTGTGTGTGTGTGTGTGTGTGTGTGTGTGTGTGTGTGTGTGTGTGTGTGTGTGTGTAAGCCAGGGATGAGGAGGCATGCTTTTGCTCTATCTACTCCCCTCATCCATTCCTCCTCCACCTCTTCCTCGTTGGTGGTGTGTCGGCTGGAAGGACGGCCCCCGTGCTCTGACACACTCACACACACTCACACACACACCTCCGCGATGTGTCACTACCCATACATCCACCTGCCTCTTCCCGTCATTTCCCGCTCTCCTCTCCATCTACCTACGCTTGTTCTTTTCCCTCCTTTTTTTTGTTGCTCACCCTAAGTCTTCCTCTCCATCCCCCCTACGCTCTGTGTCACCGCTACCGGGAAGAAAAGAAAGAAAAATGCTCCGACCGACAAAAGTAAGAAGAGAAAACGGAGGGAAAAGAGTTGAAAGCTGGAGTGTGTTTGCAGCTCAGCGATGCCTCCATCCACCTTGACTCTCCTTTGATGGAATATCCCGGACGGCGAAGGGAAAGCGGAGGAAGAAAGGACGACTGACAGAAGAATCAAAAGGAGAAGGAAGGACAACCAGCGCTCGCCTCAGGAGGGTACGGAGACACAACACTAAAAGAAAAAAACATACATAACAATCATTTTCTAACAACTTCAGCTCTTCTGTCTCTTTTGATCTCCTTCTCTCTGCTGAGTTGTGTCCACAGGCTCTGTTTTGGGGATTTTGGACAAATTGTGAAACTGTTCTCCGGACTCGGAGCGGAGAAGAGACTATTCTCTCTCCGGGTTCTTTTCATTCTAATTCATTCCCCCCAAAGCAGACCCTCAAAGAGCCTCTTCTCTGCAACTCTGTCTCTCTCTACGTCGCTCTGTTTCTTCCCCTCTCTCCGTCTGTCTGCCTTTGAGAAGCAAATAATTGGATGTGGAGATTGGCTTCTCTGTGGCTGAGCCGGAGGATTGAGTCTCACACACACACACACACACACACACACACACACACACACACACACACACACACACACACACACACACACACACACACACACACACACACACACACACACACACACACACACACACACACACACCTGGAGCTCAATGTGTATTGTGCTGTTTTGTATATGTCATTCTTTGCTGTTGGTGTGTATTCTTTAAAAGATAAAAAATAACTTGATTTTACTACATTGTCACCAAACCTAGTGTTATAAGGTATAGTTTAATGCTTAGCAAAGGCTCCCTAAAAGGTTGAGAACCTATCCAACATTGCTCAAACAGGAAGTAAAGAGTGCTTTTTGGGGACTATTTCCAGCGGCGGATGAATGCACATTTAATGATCTGATGAGTTTTTACAGGTACTGTACAGAGGTGTATCGGTCTTTTGGTTGTTGGCAAAAAATGTAAATTCAAAAAGCATGTCATTGGTATTTAGCCAAGAATGAAGCTCTAAGAGACAGACATGAAATCCCTTAGTTACAAATGTATAGTTTTAGGTCTTATGTTTGGTCACAAACTGCGAGACGTTTCATTTCTATTGCAAACATATAGAAATGAAATGTCTCAAATGTCCCTACAGTTGTGGCAGAGTCTTGAGGTTTTAGGGTTCAATCATAGACAAAAAAAGGTTTGATAATACACAACCGGTTTTTTTACGGTGCAAGGCTTCGTGAGAAGAAACTAAAAGAAAGAGAAATAGCCAGATTGGTTGAGAGATAAGTGGCAGAGGTATTTCCCCAGGGAGAGAGAGAGAGATGAAGAGGACGAAGAGGAGGCTTGAGGAGCCTCTGAGACAAGGAGACGTGAGATGTGTAACACTGGCGAGCTGATTGAGTGGAGGACACACACACACACACACACACACACACACACACACACACACACACACACACACACATTGAGACACTCAGAAAAGGTGTAAGGCTGCTCTCACTACACTTTCTGCTTTTGAGGCAGGGCGCCAAGTCTCAAGAGACGAACAGGAGACCCACACACACACACACACCACACACACACACACACCTCAACATGCACACATAAATGGAACAAGAGGGACTCCGCTATAGTTGGACCCTTTTCCCGTTATTTTTTTCAGTCTTTTCTTCTTCTGCTGTATTCATCTCTCTCTCTCCTTCCCTCCCTCTCTTTCCTCTTTACCTTCCCGCCCAACCACACATCTCCCTCCTCCCTCTCCTCCCTCCTCCCTCCTCCCTCCTCCCTCCTTCTCCTCCTCCTCCTACTACTACCACCGCTCAGCTCCATCCAGACCAAGTCTCATTGTCCTCACACACACCTCGTCCTCCGAGTGTGAGCGTGCACCTGTGTGTGTGTGCGAGGGTGGAGGTTCCAGTCCGGTCTTTTCTACATCAGCAGCGGCAGCAGAAGCGGAGCACCGGGATCCACTCTGAGGTGAGTGTGTGTCACCTTTTTATCTAAAAAAAAAGACACTTTTAAGATGTGATTTAGTTTCTTTTTAAAGTGGGAGACTGTTGTGTCTTTTTTTCAATTATGGGGACATTAAGGTAGGATGTGCGTGTGTGGGAATCTCTGTGTGTGTTCGTGCGGTGACGGGGTCAAAGGTGCTGCCGGTGACATTGGAATGGATGGAGGATGGATATGGAGCTGAAAATGTGGCTAGTGTGTGTGTGTGTGTGTGTGTGTGTGTGTGTGTGTGTGTGTGTGTGTGTGTGTGTGTGTGTGTGTGTGTGTGTGTGTGTGTGTGTGTGTGTGTGTGTGTGTGTGTGTGTGTGTGTGTGTGTGTGTGTGTGTGTGTGTGTGTGTGTGTGTAGCCAGAGGGTAAGCTTGGCTCAGTCCGTACGTGCTCTGCTTATGAATTACTGACCACGGCTTGAGTCTTTACTCCCCGCGGGTTCACGTTGAGCCTGCAAACACTTCCCCCTTTGTTTTATTTTTCCTCTTCTCCATCTTTCTATTTCTTACTCTATCTTCCTCCTTTCACATTCTGTTTGATTTGACTTCAGTGACTTATAATTGGCATGCCTGCAGAAGAGAAAACCCCCGCTACCAAAAGCCGTGTGCCAAATGCAAATTCTCACACAGCCAGGCAACAAAATATATAGAGACACATGAGTTAGCTCTGCTTTTCTCTCTCTCTCTGTTGTCACACACACATTCACACACATTCCGTGGCAGATTTAAATATTTCCCGGCGGGGTTGGAGGATGAACAGAAATAGATCTAATTCTAAATCAGGATGGAGAACTCGGCTCACGCAGCGTCGCCAACCTCGCTCCGAAACCCCCTCCCCCCCCAACTCTGTTTCAGCCAGCAGCGACAACACTGGCACTCGAAAAAAAAAGTTAAAAGATTAGCTGCAAATGTACCAGTGGGTATATATTGAGTTCTGTCAAAGTATGAACATTGACACATTGCCATACCCCACACAATTAATGTATGCCAAGACAAGCAAGCCAATAAAGTTCCCTGTTAGCAAGGACAACATTAACAAAGCCGTGATTTCAACAAACTTAAGCCTTATTAATCTATTATGATTAGAAAGCTGGGTGTAGGAGTCGTCGGGACAAAAGGGCGTCACAGTTTCGAAGATTTGCAAACAATGCATCTTGCCGTAATCAGGTTTAGAGAGTAATGGATTACATGTAACGGGATTACGTAATCAGGATATAAAACATTTAATTGATTCCCTTACAGTTACATAAAAAAGACGTAATTATTTGACTGTTACATTTCTAAATATTGGCGATAACAAGCAGGATTACCATGTTAGGAAACACCAAAGAGCAGATAGTGTTTGTTGTAAAAGGATCAGATGTTCTCTCTTCTCTGTGAGCTGTTCTGTTCTGTAGGATAATACTTTCAGTGTGAATCTCTACTTCTACTGCCTGAATCTGCTTTATGGTTTCCACTTTCTTTGCTTCATTTGCTCTGTTTTTAATTCAGCAGGTGAACCTATATGTTCATAAAATAGTGTGTGTGAGCTTAACTGTGTGTGTTAAACTAAAACGGAGCATTTTCTGTCATCTCAGATTTTATTTCAGATTTTTTAAACTGTAGTATGTGCTCATGAGTTTCATTGTTGGTGTATAGGCTGCTGCCTGAATATGCTGAATGAAAGGCAGGTTTTTCTTTATAGTCGCCCAAAAAATACAACTCAAAATGGACAGGGGAGGTCATAAAGTGCCGGATAAGCTTCGTAGAAACTTGGCTTTTTTTTTAGAAGATTTCAGGGAGTTTAAGCTGAATTGATCCGTCTGTTGCGCCTCTCGGCTGCTACAGTAGCATCCGGATTAAGCCTTGGAGTTGAGATAGAGATCTGGAGTTGATGAGCTCCTCGCTTCACTGTCTATCTGTCTGTCTGTCTGTCTGTCTGCCTGCCTGCCGTGTCAGGGCTGACTCCAGATCAGTGATAGGATAGGTCACGGCCCGCCAGCTGGCTCCAGCGGTCCCGCAGAGGAAGGGAAAGATGGAGATGTGGAGGCACCAGGAGGAAGAGAAGGAGGAGGGGGGAAGAGGAGGGGGAAGACAGGGGAGCAGGTTGAAGGAATGTGTGTGTTCATGTGTCAAAGTGTGAGTTTGTGGTGGCAGTGTGAGAGATAAGCAGGATCGGGGGGTGGGGGAAAGATAAGATGCGCTGAAGGCTGGATATAAGCACCTGGCTTGAGAGAGAAAATAAAAGATAACAATGCACAAAGAGGAAGGTGGGGGTGTCAGGGTATTAGAGGTGGGTGAAGCCTCCAATATCTACCTCCAGTCAGGACGGATGTCATATCAGGACCCTCTCATCCTCTACCTTCCCACGGCCCCCCCCACTAAGCGCCCACTTCCTCTTTTCTTTTTTTTTTGACAATGAGCCGACAGCAAAGAACAAAAGGAGACATAATACATGCAAACCCTCCTCTCTCTGCAGTCAGGAAGCAGAGGAGGAGGAGGAGGAGGGGGAGGAGGAAGAGCAGATAGGGATGAGTAAGGCATGACATGTAAGCTTGCGATTGCGGTAATCAATTATATAAAAAATAAAATTAGCTGCGGCGGGGTTGCTCCAGAAAAGTCAAACTGGTCTACTTTTGAAAAGACGGCAAGTATGTGGGTGCACTTTGAGATGCAAGATGCAGTTTAATACAAGTTTAAGTAGGAAGAGATGCCATTGCTTCAGTCTTCTCTCCTAAAAATAGGGCTCTCATATGAATGTGCTGTCAAGTTCATTAAGTTTCTAATGAAAGTCAGCATTAAAAAGCCCTGACAGAGTAAAAACTCTGCGTTGACGTTGTTTCTATGCGCTCAAAGTTTTAATTACTTCAACTTTGATCTTGTTTACCAACCAATCAGATGACAGCTGTGCTGATAGGCGCAAGCTAGCATGGAAGATAACCATAGAAACAAAACTAGACTATCTATTTTCACTGTAGAGCGTCAATCACTGGCAATGACATTTAAAACGGAGATGCAGAATCATAAATAATACTATCGCTTAATTAATCTTAGGCTATTAAGAAATCGCTTAAAATATCTGAGGTCAATTAAGTGATGTGACATCACCATGTCTCAAAATCTGTCCACTTTTAAAACCAGGCGCAAACACCTACTGGTGCCACATTTCTGCTCTCACCTGGTCAAGAAGGAGGGGTCATGACCGAACAAACAAGATCTCGAATACAAGAAGCCAAAATGGGTTTTCTCCGGAGAGTGGCTGGTAACTCTCTTAGGGATAAGGTGAGAAGTTCAGTCATCCGGGAGAGATTCGGAGAAGAAAGCAACCAGTCGAGGTGGTTCGGGGAGGTTAGGATGCCACCTGGTAGGGGTGGGGGAAATAATCGATACAGCATAGTATCGCGATACTTTGCAATATTGTATCGATACACGGACGCCACGTATCGATATTTTATTATATAAACTATTCATATTGCAAATCCAAATTAAAGTTTTTTGGTAACAATTGCTTTTTCAAACCACTATGGTGCTGAGCTTTTTCTTGTGCGGTCATGGCTATGGGTAAAGTCAGTGGGATTGGCAGGAAGTTAGTCAAAACAAAGATGTAAATATATATATATATATATATCGATATATGTCGCAATATATCGTATCGCAATACTTAGCATATCGTAGAATCGCAATACTATGGTATTGTGGCTTAAGTATCGCGATAGTATCATATCGTGGGGAGCCTGGTGATTCCAACACCTTCCACCTGGGCGACATTTTCTTCCTGTTTTGAGCACTTATATTGCACCTATGCTATCCTTCCATCTTCAACCGCTTACCAGAAGTCGGGTCGCGGAGGAAACAGTTCCAGCAGAGGGCCACAAACTTCACATTTCGTGGCCTAGAGACGTTTTTCAGGGATGTCAATCTGGAAGGAGACTGTGGTGCAAACTCAGAACCAGGTGGAGGGATTATATCTCCACCTGTGTCAGGGTGAGTGAAGCAGGCAGGACCCAAATGCAGGACAGATAGAGGGTCTAACCGAAAATACCTTTATTTCAAGACTACAAGCCTTTAACATACAGCGCAGAACTCACTCCCTAGTGAACACATTCAACTAAGATAAGAGATGGAAGGATAGCAGAGGTGCAATATAAGTGCACACAACAGAAAGAAAATGTGCGTGGCAAATGCTCAACAGCCGCTAGCAACTCGACTTTGGAGGCAGGAATGGAATAAACAGTAGCTGACGTACGTCTCCGCTCCAACTGGGGCGCCATTGACCGTTATTATTACGCACTCGCATAACATGTTAACTCCGAAAAATGATGCATATGCATTTTGGTCTGGAGCGCAACTTAGATGAGTACAAAGTAATCATAAAAGATAGACCCAATGGCTGAGTCTGCAAATATAAAACCAAAGTACGGTTATGTCGTTGTAAATGATGATATGGGTCAATACAAATACATATGACCTATTTAGTAGTGTTTACATTTAGAGGAGAGATTTTAACTTAGTATTCAGTGATAACATTAGTTTATAGGCCAACACTATCATTATGTAAATGTTAATTAAAAGCCAGAAGTGGATTTTAAAAAAAGGGACAAATTATTATGTCCATATACAATTGTAATTTGTTATTGATGGATGCTGGTATTACAGTATATGGCCTCTACACAGTGCTTCGTCTCATCCCTTTGGCCTCACTTCTTCAGCCTGCTTGATGATTAATGGTTTCTGTATTACACATATTAGAGAACCCCCCCCCCCCATACACACATACGTACACACGCAGTGATCAGACTGGCAATGATTTCAGCTGCGGTAATTAAAGAAGTGTTAGCAGTGAGTGAATTTCCTCTGGTGTCTCCTCTGGTGTCTCCTCTGGTGTCTCCTCTGGTGTCTCCTCTGGTGTCTCCTCTGGTGTTTCCTCCCTCTTCTTCTCTCTCCTATCTATTTTTATTCTTTTCATCGTTCTTCTCTCATCACCTCTTTTCTCATGTTGT